GATTACGATATAATTGACACTAGACAAAATACTTTACAACTCCACAACTTTATTAGTGCAAAAAAACAAAACAAACCCATCAATGTATTTTCACTTAAACAAGCAGCTGGTTTTTTATGTGCATTAAAGTTATATAAAAATTTAACAGTGCAAATACAAATTCTTTGCTGACAGTTTAACCAAAAGGCATTTCCAGTGGAAACTGGCCGACATATCCTCAGCATAACCATGTAATATATCCACAAAACTTAAAAAGAGGTCATACACACACAATACGGTAACATTATGTTGAAGCACAGTACATATCACTCCACGAGGCTCCGCCTACGATAGCCGTAATGCTCCGACAATCCATCAAGCGGTGCGGCTTCGTAGCTTAGCAAAGTCGTACTGAAACATTTGACAGATTTTCGAGGGCCGTGTACATAAAATCGATTCGAGGTCAGTAAACACAACCAGAGTTCATACATAAGGCACACGGGATTATAAGGGGCTCTGTCGACTTTCAGAAAAATCAAAGGATTGATTTTAAGTGTGCCGTGTTTTCCAAACAACATGGTAATAACGACGGCCCGCTAGCATGCTCTACCAAAAATAGTGCTTTGTTGTGTATCTGACGGACGAAAGCTAAACCAGTTCCAGTGAAGCTGCAGCATTTTGACAAACCAGTTCTGGTTCATCCGTTTTTATTCAACGATCCACTTTCACTCTTCTCATTCTGCATCGCTGCCATGTGCGTATGTACACATGTGCGTATGTAAACAAAGGTACTGCGCATGTGCGTTTTACCCATATTCTATCGTGATATTTCATTTTCCTATCGTTGCCCAAAATTACACCGGTATTACCGTGAACGGTATGATATGGCCCAGCCCTACTCAGAGCTTCCTACAGATGTTAAAGGGAACCCCAGCTATTAAGACATGTTTGCGCTAAAATATGTATTGTGCCTTCAATAAAATATGTCTTATTAAAATACGCCAAATGTTTTCCTTTTAAGCACATTTTATATAAAACAGATTTACCAGTAGGCCGCCATTGTTATTTACTTCTCAATGCACTCTGGGTAGGGACGTCATACAGTTGTACCGCATCCAGTTCAAGTTTGCAGCGCACTGGAAATGGCTTCTGTTCAACCTTTCCAGTTCACACCAGAGAGAACCGAGTGAGATAATGAAAATAGTCAACCAGCACTTAGTTTAGATGAAGATGAACACAATCTGTCACACGAGGACGAGAGAGTGAGGGAAAACTACTGGTGTCTATGCGCCTACTGCTTGCCAATGGCAACGGTGACTGAGAAGGTTTGTTGTAAAGCACCAAAACTTTGAAGCCGTATGTGTTAATCCAGATGTTCTCTGGGAAGCCCTTGTTAGCCTCATGATCAGTATCCAGTCTTTAAGTGATAATGTGATTGTGGTGGGGCGTGGTTTGCGGTGCCGCGCGGATGCACCTGCACGGCATCCGCAATCACGCCCGCCGTGTTAAAACACGGGGACTCAGGGGTTGGTGTGGTGTGACGTGAATTAAATAAAGTTGGCTTTGAACGTTGCTCCGTGGTCCCGCCGTGCCTTATTCACGCCACATTGGTGCTGAAACCCAGGAGGCGGCACGGCGGGTCTGTATCGGAGCCAGGGAATGGAGGAGCTGGCCCGGAGGGTGGCCGAAATGGCGGCCGCCCAGCGGGAGCAGGCGGCGGAGGTGCGTCGCCAGCAGGAAGAGCTGCAGGACCGGTCCGAGCGCCACCTGGAAAGGATTGGGGAGCTGGTGGCGCTGCTCTGGGCCTGGGCGCCACCCCCACAAGTGTGTCCCGAGGACAGTGAAGCGGTGGAGGAGCCGTGTGGGGAACCTCGGCAGCCGGAGGTGGTGGACGAGTCACGTGGGGGTCCGAGCCTGCCGGAGGAGGAGGAGCAGCCGGGTGAAGGGCTGCTCCTGCCGGGAGCGGTGGAGGAGCCGCTCCAATCAGAGGCGGAGGACGAGGCGGGCGAGGGTCTACACCTGCCGGAGGAAGAGGAGTCGCTCCACCCAGAGGTGGACGAGGGGCTGTGCCTGCTGGAGGCGGAGGCGCAGTGTGGGGAGCCGCTCCAAACGGGAGTGGCAGAGGCGGTGGCGGAGCAGCTGTGCGAGGAGACGGAGGTCCCTGCTCCAGGGCAGCCTGCGCAGCCGGAGTTGGAGGCAGAGGAGCGGGACAGCCCCGCTAAGCCGGGGGTCGGCGGACTGGCTAGTCCAGCCTCGCTGCCGCCAGTCGATTCTGTGCGCCTGACGTCTGCCCAGCCGCCTGTGTACAGGAGCTCACGGCCATGCCTGTGGGGCCGTGTCCGCTTGCTACGCGGCCGACCTCCGGACCAGCTTCGCTGTTGCTGCTGGATGCGCGGGCGGCCACCAGAATGGACGCTTCCCCGTCGCTTGGCCAGGGGCTGGGGCGCCGATGTTTTGGGCCGAGTCTCGCCCCAGTTCGCGGGGGGGGGGAGTAGGTTCGGCCAGATTGCTCCCCGGCCTCAATCGGGCGATGGGGGTATGTGGTGGGGCGTGGTTTGCGGTGCCGTGCGGACGCACCTGCACAGCATCCGCAATCACGCCCACCGTGTTAAAACGCGGGGACTCAGGGGTTGGTGTGGGTGTGGTGTGACATGAATTAAATAAAGTTGGCTCTGAACGTTGCTCCGTGGTCCCGCCGTACCTTATTCGCGCCACAGTGATGAATCCTGCTTCCTGCCCAAAGTATTCTGCATTTAATAAGGCTGCTGTGTTTTTTAACATGTTTAAATGCTTTGCATCTTGTTCTATTTAATCTCAACAAGGCCCTAAAAACAGTCAGTGATCACTGTCGCCTTCTCACGGTTTTTATTACCACTGTTCATTTTAAAGCTCAGTTTTTAAACATTTACGATGTAGCTACAGCCCAGCGCACGCAGCAGTATATTAATGCCTAACCTTGTGTAGTGGATGGATTATCTCAGTTGTTCTCCTTCCTGACGTTTGGTCCGTTTACAGCATCCTGCCATGCGATTGCATTTACTCCTAACTAGAGCAGGGCGATATGGCCAAAAATATTTATCACGATATATATTTGAAAATTTGCGATAACGATATAACCGACGATATAATTGATGCGAGACAAAATACAACTCCACAACATTACTAGCACAAAAAGACAACCTTCCATTTATTTTCACTTAAACAAGAAGCTGGTTTTTATGTACATTAAAGCTTTATAAAAATGTAACAGTGCAAATGCAAATTCCTTGCTGACAGTTTAACCAAAAGGCATTTCCAGTAGAAATGGGCTGACATATCCTGAGCATAACCATGTATAATATCCACTGAAGTTAAAAAGAGGTGCTTTGCAACATTAAACTGCAGTGTGCATTACGCATTTTTCGGACCATAAGGTGCACGGGATTATAAGGCACATTAAGCGAAACAAAGCAGTCAGATAAATCAAACTTTATTAAACTCATTCTTCTTGCTTCCTCCACTTCTGTACCATTGATTCATTAATGTTGAATTCTCTGGCAGCTGCTCTATTCCCATGTTGCTGCAGTATATTAATGACTAACCTCGTATTGTGGATGGATTATCTCAGTTGTTCTCCTGACTGAAGTTTGGTCCGTTTACAGCATCCTGCCATGCGATTGCATTTGTCTCTAACCATGAAGAACCTTCACGTTAACTTTTATAAGTGGAAAAGTGTTAGTGTTCGTCCTCCAGCTTCACTGTTTATGTTATGCTAACATAGCTGTGTCGCTAGCGATCACGTAGCACATCATTATATACCAGCTAGCCCAACTTCAGTAACCCTACAAACGTCACTGCTGTTTAGTTTCCTGTCTTCATTTATGTTGGAAGTGATAGCAGAGCTGTACGTTTGATTTTTTTCAGAAATCTCTCAGTCAGAACATGCAATATCATGCTTAGGTAACTAGCGAAACTAGCGAGCTAACTTCCGCTAGCTTCCTGCTAACTTCTAACTCCGTTAAATGTAATAACTTTTGTTTTCATGGATGCCTGGAAGTTAAACTTTATAGTTACACCTGGTAAAGCAGCAATGCTGATCGTTTTATTAAAGATGAAAGAATTTAGACAGTTTTTAACTCTAAGTGATGCTGCAGTGTTGTTTGACCTGAAGTATACGGAGTTTAGGACCCAGATTACTCCCAGATTTAAGAGCATCTTAGTAAGACAAATATGACAATAACAACGGCTGCTTGCATGTTCTGCAAAAAAATGTGCTTTGTTGTGTATCTGATGGACAAACACCAAACCAGTTCCACATCACGGAAGTTGCACCATTTTTACAAACCAATTCTGGTTCATCTGTTTCACTCAACAATCGGCCATGTGCGTATGAAAACAAAGGCACTGCGCATGCGCGTTTTACTCCCATTCTATCGCGATATTTCATTTTCCTATCGTTGCCTAACATTATACCGGTATTACCGTGAACGGTATAATATGGCCCAGCCCTACTCCTAACCATTGGGAACCCTCACATTAACTTCTGTCGAGTGGAAAAAAGTCCACCACTCATTAGTGTTCGTCGTCAAGCTTTACTGCTTATGTTATGCTAACATAGCTTGTTGCACTAGTGATCACACATAGCAAATCATTATACACCAGCTAGCCCAACTTCAGTAACCCAACAAACGTCACTGCTGTTTACTGTCCTGTCTTCATTTATGTTTCAAGTGATAGCAGAGCTGTACGTTTTAATTTGTTTAATAAATCTCTGTCAGAACATGGTATGTTATATTTAGATAGAAGCTAGCGAGCTAGCTCCTTGCTAACTTCTAGCTCGGTTAAATGTCTCAGCTGACTGCAGGTTTACAACATTGGGAAAACCACAGGACAGAATCAACTTTTGGAGATTTATTTTCATGGATGATTGAGCATGCATCAAGACATTAGACAGTTTTTTAACTCTCAGTAATACTGCAGTGATCATTTGTTCCACGACTGCATTTTACTCACTGCCTCTGTTTGTATCTCTGTCACTGCAGGACCAACATGGAGCGAGAAGTCAGCGCTCTCAGGAGGCCGACAAACCTCACAGAAGAAAGGGACGGAAAAGATACAGCTGTGATGTGTGTGGGAAGGAGTTTACTCACAGTAGCAACTTAGGACATCATCAAGTTACCCACTCTGGAGTTAAGGCGTACAGCTGTGATGAGTGTGGAAAGTCTTTTACCCAGGCTGGAAGCTTAAAAACACACAAACTCATCCACAGTGGAGTTAAACCGTACAGCTGCGATCAGTGTGGTAAAGCTTTTGCTCGCAGTAGTACCTTACAACGTCATCAAGTTACCCACTCTGGAGTTAAGGCGTACAGCTGTGATGAGTGTGGAAAGTCTTTCACCCTGGCTGCAAGCTTAAAAACACACAAACTCATCCACAGTGGAGTTAAACCGTACAGCTGTGATCAGTGTGGTAAAGCTTTTGCTCACAGCAGCGGCTTAAGAGGTCATAAAGTTACCCACTCTGGAATTAAGGCATACAGCTGTGATCAGTGCGGTAAAGCTTTTGCTCACAGCAGCGGCTTAAGAGGTCATAAAGTTACCCACTCTGGAATTAAGGCGTACAGCTGTGATCAGTGCGGTAAAGCTTTTGCTCACAGCAGCAGCTTAAGGAGTCATCTAGTTACCCACTCTGGAATTAAGGCGTACAGCTGCGACTTTTGTGGAAAAACCTTTCGTCGGCTACTCAGCCGTAATATTCACCAACGCATTCACACCAAAAATGATTTTTGCTTCTGTGATCAGTGTGGCAAAACCTTTGTGGCATACGACCATTTACAGCGGCACATGTTTACCCACACTGAGGAGAGACCTTATAAATGTGACCAGTGTGAGAAGACTTTTAAAGCTCCACGTTACCTGAGAGTCCACAAACAGATTCACACCAGAAAGAAACTCTACAAGTGCACTTACTGTGAGGTATGTATTTTTCTTTTTGCACTTGCACTTTTGTTGAAGTATTTTGTAAATTAAGTTTCATTTCAAACTTAAACGAGACAGGAAAAGTCAATCTAAGAATATTTGGAAAATCTGAAATAGATCTCCCAAAACTTTCCTGATGTTGGGAAAAAAGTAAAGTTTTAAAAGACATTCACACTCCGATGGATGCATTGGAGAGCAGCTTGGGGGTTAGTATCGTGTGACCAACATTGGTCACACAAAATGTATTCCGCTACAGATTACAAAATACATGCACGAATAACGTAACATGACTTAAATGAGCTGTGGGCCACTGCTGGCACTGTCATCTCATTGAAGGGCCACTTTAGTGGTCAAGTAGTACAAGAAATGCAAGAAAACAACCACAAATATTATCAAAAATGTAGTGTTTTCTTTTCTTGTTTAGTTTTTTTATTCAAATATTGTATACCAAGACAAAACTGCAAGCATGAACCCAATTTCTTCCCCTCACTGTAATATTTTATTTTTTTTAATTTATATATATACATAAATACATACATATTAGGGGTGCAACGATACACAAAGTTCACGGTTCGGTTCGATACTTTGGTGTCACGGTTCGATATTTTTTTCGATACAAAAAAAATGTTCATGCTTTTTTAATTTGTCATTTATTAAAATTATAAATATATATTTTAACTCAAAAATACAGTTTTTAAATTTAATGTTGCTGAAACAACAAAGGGATAAAAAAATAAATATATCTGATGGAGAAATCACTCATCTTTGGAAAAGAGAGTTTATTACAGAGAAATGTCTCTTTCCAAAATAAAAGCTATACTATAGCTTCTTCTGGGCTATATTCTCAGCAGCATATTAAACATATCAGGTCCCCATAAGGAGAATCCTGTGCTAACGGCTGTCTAAATGACTCGAGTAAAGTTTGTAGCATGCTTGCTTGTTGTTTTTGTCTGCTTCCACTTGTCTTTGCACTAGGATGATGTCAGCGTAGATGTGCAGTCATATTCGTTGTGTTCCTACTAGTGCTGTCAGCGTTAATCTCGTTGAAATGACGTTAAAGCCACAACACGGCAAATCTCCGTTAACGAGCTACCGCGGATCGCCCCGTGCATGGGGCTGGACGGCGTCAACACGTTAACGAGCTAACTGCGCTAACGCACTAGCTCCCACCCATGCAATTGAGCATTGCGTGGCACATCCAACATACTGTTTTACTTTAGTCCATGACGCGCTTACCTTCAGGGTCATTCGTCACATGAAAACCAAAATAGTTCCGAAGCCCAGATCTGAATGAGGGTGGGGGAGGTTCAATTTGCCATGTTGCAAGGAGAGCTTAGCTTCTGTCTCGCTAGCTTGCCCTGCGCTCAGTGAATCTGCGTTCAACTACTCCGCCTAGGCTGCACTGTCGAGCGCAGATCCACTGAGCTCTCAACACAGACAGCATCGTCAGAAGGAAAGTTGATAAAATAAAATTTTGTATTGTTCGATACATATGCGTACCGAACCGAAAGCACTGTATCGAACGGTTCAATATCGATACGAGTATCGTTGCACCCCTAATACACACACACACACACACACACACACACACACACACACACACACACACACACACACACACACACACACACACACACACACACACAAAAAGCCCCTTTTTCAGGCGACATTCAGGATGTTGAAGGAATTCCCTGACTTCCACTGTGTTTGTTTCTTTGTTTAGAAGCAGAGTGACACAGATGGATCCAGTTCTCAACCCTGTCACCGCTGTGGTGGTGGGAAAGAGTTTCGCTGTGACCTTTGTGGAAAAACGTTCATTCATCAGCGAAGCCTAGAACTACATCAACGCAGACACACTGGAGAAAAAATGAACTACTGCAGAGAATGTGGGAGAGGATTCCCCACATCAAGTGAATTAAAAAAACACAAACTCTGCCACAGTGGGGTTAAAAACCACGTCTGTGACCAGTGTGGGTCATCTTTCTTCACTGCAGGTCATCTTACATTACACAAACAAGACCACACAGGAGAGAAACCATATAAGTGCAGACACTGTGACAAATGCTTCTCACATTCAAGTCGTTGTAATGATCATGAAGATGCACACATTGAAGGGAACTTCAGCTGTGACCAGTGTGACAAGAGCTTCAAGAATCTCAGTTCATACTCCGCACACAAACGATCCCACGCTGTATATAAACTGTTTCACTGTTACCTATGTGCAAAGACATTCACTTCATTATCTGCTCTGAGCAAACATCAGCGTGATCATGCATGACTGAAATCGCTGGATCACAATGAATCTGACGAGACAGAAAGATCCTCTTCTGGTTTCAGGGTCAGACTTAAACACCTTGAGATCAGGCTCCACAGAGTTCAGGTGGAGTCTCCTGTAGAGAGTGTCAGCTGATGTCACACTTGGATCTGATGAGGTAGCTCTGATTTCTGGACCTGCAGTGAATAATCCTGGATGTTAAACTAGGGAAGTTGCAAGTATAGATGTGCACATCAAGTGTTTTCTTTTTTCTTTGAGAGATTTTCATTCTGTAAAAGAAACTTTAATGTTGAAAATGTTTGTCCTATAGAAAATAAGAGAGGAGAGTTGTTGATTCTTGTTTAACTCTTATCTGAATAGCACTTACCTGAGTGCCTTGCCACCTGTTAGCCTACTTCCTAGGCCTTATTCCTTGAAGAAAAGACTTCTCTGAAGAAGCACTTATACCTGAGTTAAGTCATTGTTTAATCACTCACCTTCACACGTTCTTTATTGTCAGATGTCTGCATATTGCTGATTAAACCTACTAAACATTTTGAACTGTGCCCTGTTAATGAGTCCTCCAGGTGTAACCTTGCAACTGCTAAGACGTCTCTGATGGTACAGGGCCATTGAGGGAAAGATTATCTGCCTTTTAAGTGATGCTGCGAAATATATGACAGCCACTGCCAGACATGTATCCATAAGGCATGTTGTGTGCATTGCACATGCACTAACACCTGGCCTAGAGGAACTGCACAGAAAGTGGTGGCCTATTTTAAGATCAAGCATGACTGCTGACCTAAAACAGGCACTAGAACAGCATCTTCTTGATGCTACAGCAATCATATGATGAGAGGCAGACAGTTGGAGAACAAGCTCGATGACCTAAGAGCAAGGGTCACCTTCCAACGTGACATGAGGGACTGCAACATTCTGTGCTTCACGGAGACATGGCTGTCCCCCACCGTGCCGGACCAGGCCGTAACTCCGTCGGATTCATTCTTTGTGCTCCGCGCGGACAGAACGGCAGAGTCGAACAAAACCAAAGGTGGAGGAGTGTGTTTCATGGTAAACAGAAAGTGGTGTGATGCCAGGAGCATTTCTACTCTCTCCAGCGGCTGCTCGCCACATCTGGAGTTCCTGGGCATTAAGTGCCGCCCTTTCTATCTGCCCCGTGAGTTCACCTCAGTCATCGCCACGGCGGTCTACATCCCACCCCAAGCGGACACAGGTATGGCTTTGTCCGAATTACATGATGTGCTGAGCTCGCTTCAAAACAAGGACCCTGGCGCAGCCCTCATTGTAGCAGGAGACTTTAACAAAGCGAACCTCAGGCAAGTCATGCCAAACTTTTACCAGCATGTCTCGTGTCCAACGAGAGGGGATCGGATTTTGGATCACTGCTACACGCCATACAAGCAGGGCTACAAAGCTGTCTCACACCCGGCTTTTGGGAAGTCTGACCACAATGCCATATTCCTCATTCCCCAGTATAAACAAAGCATACGGAGGGAAGACGTGACCACGAAGGAAGTAAAACGGTGGACTGCCCAATCAGAAGCTACGCTACAGGACGCACTCAACGACGTAGACTGGGACATGTTCAGAGCATGCGCAGTCGACATCAACGAGTTTACGGAAGTAGCAGTATGCTTCGTCAATATGCTAGCGGAGGAGATTATCCCCACTGCGAGAGTCACCACATTCCCAAACCAGAAACCGTGGATGGACAGATCGATCCGCACTGCAGTAAACGCCAGGACCGCCTCCTACAACGCGGGTCTCGCCACTGGCGATATGAGCGCCTACAAAGCGGCCTCATACGGCGTGTGGCGCGCGGTGAGAGATGCCAAATGCAGGTACCGGGAACGTGTGGAGTCCCGCTTCCACCAGGGCGACACACGGAGTATGTGGCACGGACTACGCACCATTACGGACTACAAAGCCAGGGACACTGCGCCGATCAACGCCGACTCTGCATTCACCAACGAGCTGAATCGGTTCTACGCCCGTTTCGAGGTTAGCCAGGCGGCTAATGCTATCTACCGCCTGACTACCGAGGACAGTGACGTCATCAGCGAGAGACCGGTGACCAGCATCGCGGAGCATGACGTCCGAGCGGCACTGAGGAGAGTGAACACAAGGAAAGCGGCGGGGCCAGACGGCATCACCGGCCGCCTGCTGCGCTGCTGTGCTGACCAGCTAGCAGGTGTGTTCACTTACATCTTCAACGAGTCCCTGGCGAAGTCTGTGGTCCCCACATGCTTCAAAAGATCCACCATCATCCCTGTGCCCAAGAACAGCAAACCCTCATCCCTGAATGATTACCGGCCAGTTGCACTGACCTCGGTAGTAATGAAGGTGTTTGAGAGGCTGCTGAAGAACATCATCTCCTCCTCCATCCCAGACACCACAGATCCGCTGCAGTTCGCCTACAGATCCAACAGATCCACAGAGGATGCCATCGCCCACGTCCTACACACCACTCTCAGCCACGTGGACAAGAAACAGGGTAACTATGTGCGAATGCTGTTTGTTGATTACAGTTCAGCGTTTAACACAATAGTGCCCTGCAGACTGTTCACAAAGCTGAGGGATCTGGGACTTAACAGCCGTCTGTGTGCATGGGTGTTAGACTTCCTCACTGGCAGAACTCAGGTGGTGAGGGTGGGCAGGTGCTTCTCCAACAGCATCACCATCAACACAGGAGCACCTCAGGGATGTGTCCTCTCGCCACTGCTCTACTCCCTCTACACTTCAGACTGTGTGGCCACCCATGGCTCCAACACCATTGTGAAGTTTGCTGACGACACAGTGGTGTTGGGTGCCATCTCCAACAACGATGAGGCGGCCTACATGGATGAAGTGAAGAATCTGGCATCGTGGTGCCAGGACAACCACCTCCAGCTGAACGTCAGCAAGACCAAGGAGGTGGTGGTGGACTTCAGAAGGGGTCACCACAGAGACTACAAGCCCATTATCATCAATGGAGCTCCAGTGGAGAGGGTGCAGTCCTTCAAGTATCTTGGTGTCCACATCTCCTCAGACCTGACATGGGCTGCCCACATTCAGGTCAGACCAAAAAGGCTAGGCAGCGCCTGTATCACCTACGACAACTGAGGAAGTTCAGGGTCTCTCCAAAGATCCTCAGGATTTTCTATACAGGCGCTGTGGAGAGCATCCTCACACAGAACATGACATCGTGGTTCGGGAACAGCTGTGTGAAGGACCAAAAAGCTCTCCAGAGAGTGATCCGTACAGCAGAACGCTGCTGCAGGATTGCTCTCCCCCCGCTTCAGGACACCTACACCAGGAGATGCCGGACTAGAGCAGCGCAGATACTGAAGGACCCGTCCCATCCTGGCAACAAACTGTTCCAACTTCTGCAATCTGGTAGAAGGTTCCGCATCTTCCGGGCAAGGACAGAGAGACTCAAGAGGAGCTTCTATCCCCAAGCCATCCATGCCCTAAACACACACACCCGCCCTCTCACATCATCTATAATTGACTGAGACAGGACTCTTCCAGACACTAAACCAAGGCACAATGTACATTTCAATTCCTTTAATTTTAAATATGTTTATATTGTCTATCCTATAAAATAGTCAGATGTCTATTCATATTAATGTACAGAATTCACCTGCTTGCTGCTACTACTGCACATTCACCCAGTGTATATACTATGTGTGTGTGGTATATATATATATATATATATAAAAATAAATAAAATGTTCTTCCTCTACCCCCCCCCCCCCGCCCCCAACTTTTGCACATGTCGAGGAGCGTGTCAGGCTACATTTCACTGTGTGTTATACTTGTATAACTATGCATGTGACAAATAATAAAGAACCTTGAACCTTGAGAAGTTCTGGCATCACTCTGAACAGAAGTCAATCCACTTCTAAGGACCGTGAAAAAAAACAGCACTGGCTTCACAGTGATCAACTTATTTTAAATGGCAACAGTGGAAATGTCCCAGCAGAAGAAAGTCATGGGGTCAATGTTCATTCCATTCATAACAATATTGCTTCATACGACTCAGGAAATACTGGGAAATACCACCAATGTGACAGCAAACCAACTGGGAAAGAACATGTCTGCAACCCTTTGACAAGACCCTACACCCTAGAGAGCTCAGCTGTCACTGTCCACACTGCTTAATCCAAGATTTAAAACCATTAGTTTCCTCAGTGAGCGCAAAGCACAAAATGCAGAGTGACGACTGACTGCTGAATGTGCAGCTCATGAGGCACACACTGGAGAGATCTACTGATCACCCATCGACATCACCTGCACCTCAACGAGTAGCACCGAATGAACAAAATCCATCCACAGGTAATGTCACGAATAGTTTATTATTAATATGAAGGAGAAAATTAGTTCAATTTCAGTTTAATTGTATTTATATAACCTCAACTCACAACAACAGTTACCTCGAGGTCATTTATATGGTAAGGTAAAGACAAAAAACACCAACAGTAGAAACATAAAAATCAAAACCTTTCAGTACACATCCATGTGATGTTACTCAGTCTTTCAGCTTTTAACCATTGGAAAAATCTTGGTGAACAAGATACTAAGATGTCAGTGGCCAAGAAGACAGGGAGTCCCTTCAAAACCCTTAGACTAGCCAGGGGATGTAACAGGGGTAATTCTCAAAATGTGGATTTTATTGTACCCCAAAAAAGACAAGGTTACTTCAAAAATACACAATCACGAAAATAAGTTGTTTTAAGAATTAAGTGGGACCGTACACAGGATTCTACAATGTATAAAATATAACTCAACAAAGTGACCTGCACAAATGAGAGACAGCTCAACCTATATAGCAACTTTAAACATCAAAGGTGGAAACCACAGAGACAATAGCTAAACATAATACAAGAATAATCCCCCGTCTAATTTGGTAAATTAACTGAATGCGAAAAATTAGAAGCGTAAACATGAATCAATATTACCAAATTATTTCAGTTGTGTGGTTGTGGAAAATCACTTATGAGAAGAGTACACAGGAAATCAGATTCTTTTCAGCCATGGCTCTAATCGGTCTGGAGGAGTTGCAATTTGTTTCAATAAATTCCCAGGGGAAATTATAAAACCGATGAAGAGGATCGTTGGTTAACTCGGTGGTTCTCAAACATTTTTCACTTGGCCTCCCTTTGTTTTCCAAAAGCCCGCCCGCCCCCCCTGCACAATCATGCAAATAAAAGTAAAATGCAATAATGTGGTCCTGTTGCTGAGGTTGGGGTGATCCTGTAATCTCTTATGGACTACCTCCAATGCTTGATAGCAGCACAAACAAAATATTTTGCAGCACAAACGTAGCACAAATGGTTTATATCAATTTTGTTTGATTTGGGATTTGGGTTTGGGGGCTGGTTAACCTTTTGGCCTTTACATTTTCATTAATATCTTTAAGCAGAACCAGCACAAACGACAATTTTAGCAGCACAAACCAGCACAAATGTAGCACACTTGATTAACACCAGTTTTGTTTGATTTAATTAATGCGGGGTGGCTGGTTGACCTCCGATGACCTCTAGAAATTTCCTTTAATA